AGCCTATTTTTGTTGATGTACTGATCTCGTTTTCTCTCTCCGTCAGATGTCAGAGCACTGTTATACGGATAGCAGACTAACAATAGTTTAATTTCTGAAGGTTACGGCTGACTACAATTGGTTGGACAAGACATTTTTAGACTTACTTGTTAGAGAAAGATGTTTCTGAAAAGTTTACAAACATATTGAATGCTTTATGCAAAAATTCCTCAGAGAGACAGAATGAGATAATATAATCACCTAGCATCACTGTTCTAAAACAGCAATGCACACGATTACCAAATCTAACCATTTCTCTTTAACTTTGTCATCGATGACATTCTAAAGATTGCTCCGTAGGATGAACGTGGTGATGGAGAAAGAACGTCTGACTCTGAGCTTGCTCATAACATCATCTAGTTGTGTAATAGCATACAGGTCACTGAAGTTGCACTCAATCATTGTGAGTGAGGAAGTTTTGTGAGTTGCTTCGCTTAAGTACGCAGTTAACTTGTCAAATTGATAGGTGTCTGTACCCATATTCGTTTTTGCAGGTGATCTATTATGAGCATTTGATAAGTTGTGCGATTGCTGACACGGGTGTGACAAAATAAATTTCTAATCAAATAATTAGTATACAGCAGCCCAAGCAACATCTAGAGTCACCGAATGTCAGCATGAATTTTGAGGCTATCAGGACAAGAGAAAGACAAAGCTGTCCGCAATCACCAATGTCCTTCCTAATTGTGGTGGACTGGATCATGTCCGAGACCGGTGGGCTTGAGAATTCGAGGATACATTGGACTGATGAAGAAACCTAGAAGATCCTTATTTCGCGGATGATTTATGTTGCACAGGCCTGAAAGCTTACAAGCGAAAACCAGGCAGCTGGAGAATGAAGTAGTGGAAACAGGACCTCAGGTGAACAAAGACAAGATAAAGGTGATGACAATACCGAATCAACAAAAGCCACATGCTCCAGTCACCATGGACGGAAGGAACCTAGAGGAAGTCGTGACATTTTACTTACCTGAACTCTGCAGCATCATATCAACTATATCCATGAATGAGGATTTCTTAGCGAGCCAGGATATCGGGTAAGCTATACTGGACTTCATTATTCCGAAATCAGTTTGGAGATTCACAGCATTCAGCAAAATGAACGAATTCCGAATTTTCAATGCTAATGTCAAGTCGGAGCTTCAATATGGTTCAAAGAATTGGTGAGCTCGTCAACATAAACATTTCTAACAAGCCTTCAAGCGGACTCCTATCAGCAGCTTTCTTTAAGCGATACTGAGGATCAGACTGCCTGCCATCCAGGAAGAATAAGCCACATGGTACCCTGTCAGGCAGTGAACCAGTCGAGACTCTATTACTCTATAAATGTGACGAAGGGAATGGAGGTAGATTGGACACGTATCGGTTCTAGAACTAGGTAAAGTGTCACATAAAGTTTTCCTTTGGAGTGGCTCCGAAATGGTGATCAAGAGTTCATTACTGGTGTGGATTGGAACGTATTTGAAGATGAAATTTGCCCAAGAAATACGTATAGGGAAATGGAGATGGAATGAACATACGCTAATGACATATCGAAGTAACTTCAAATGTAGGGCTGTCAAGTGCACCGATAATGAGAAATGACAAGCTTGGAATCCAAGGATGACATATCAAATAAGAAGTTGTGTGAGTAACTTGATATGGTTATGAGCAATAGTTTGTGCTGGAAACGTCATCAGTTAATATTACTGTATAACACTATGTGATTTATCAAAATAAAATCTTATCCATAATGGAGTTATATTCCACCACAGTGCCCAAGTTTTATACTTATATCAACAAAAACTGATTTATTTAGGATGTATGCAGTTGGAGAGAACCTGTGAAATAAAACGAGCTCGTATTATCACGCAAATATGTTCATTCTTTCTTTGTTCAAATAATGTGGAATTCTCAACATATAGTACGATATTACGTCTAATTTCCCCTTTACATGTACATAATACAGTCAACTTACATTGATAATAATGTCAATAAAGAATATGAATGGGAAATTAAAAGTTAATAGAAATACCGAAAATATATTATTGATTGGAAGAATAAAAAGGGCTGTTTAATTACTGTCTCGTGGTAAGTTAGTTTCATGACTAATACTTTTCTTATCACTTATAATGCGTGCTAAATAAGGTATCGTAGAGTTCTTATACTTAGTCATCCGAGCATAATATCAGTTATAATTGCTCTGAGTCCTTCCTGATGAGAGGCAAGAGCAGAGTTTTGTATAAAAAGGACGCTCAGAGTTAGACAAGACGATATTCACCAATTCCGCCAGGGATGCCCATCATCCCCATTCCTATTCAATTTCATCATAGATGTACTAATGGACTTAACCTTAACTCACTTGAGAGACTCAGGGATTGATTTGCTACCAGGGAATAATCTCGTTGACTTAAAATATGCAGACGATATAGTCCTTCTAGGCGAGGACGCTGACAAAATGCAGAGTCTACTGAACACCTTGAGCTGCAATCTACGAATGTTTGGCATGCGATTCGCCCCCACCAAATGTAAGATGATGTTACAGGACTGGACTACACTGACTCCTTGTTTAGAAATAGGGAGTGAAGTGGTAGAGCACGTTGACCGCTTCACTTATTTGGGATGTACCATCAGACCCAACGGGTTGATCTCTGACGAAATCCCAGCACGAATACAGAGGGCTAGTTTTGCATATGCCAGTTTACGCTGTCTCTGGCGTAGACGTGATATCCGACTATCGACCAAAGGGCTTGTGTATTGCTCAGCAGTACGCTCCGTCCTCCTTTATGGCTGTGAGACCTGGCCATTGAGAGCGGAAGACATGAAAAGATTAGCTGTCTTCTATCATAGGTGTCTACGTTCTATCTCCCGTGTGAAGTGGTATAATAGGGTGAGCAATATTGAGGTCAGGCTTCAGTCGAGTGCTAGGTAAGGAGGGGAAATCAATAGACGAGGCTGTGAAATTACATCGATTGAGATGGTTAGGACGTGTGCTACGTATGCCTAGTCATCGCCTTCCTTGACGGGCAATGTTAGCTGATATAGGGTCAGGTTGGAAAAGAGCTCTCGGTGGTCAAACGAAAACATGGCACCAGTCAATGAAATCCACAACATTTAGTTTAAGCCACGTAGGGAGGTGTAGACTTCTTCACTAGTTGGGGTCATCGGGACGGTAAACACCAATGGCTGAAAACAATTAGTGCAATGTCTCAAAATCGTTCTCAGTGGCTAACGCAGACGCATCCACTCCTTGTGACTTATGATTTCCAATGAAACTATATTGCTCTTCGTTACTACTATTCCTTTGTCTCTCCCCTCTGTTTACTGTCTCTATTATGCATTTCTTCTCTTGCTTTGTGTGCTACATGGAGTGTGGCGACTTGAACTGCCGCACATATGTGCAAAGTTCTATGTCGAATACAGACAGACAGACTTGCATGAGTTTAAGTGTCTGTCCACAACAGTTTTAAAGAATTGCTTTGACGGCACCCTATCCATCCTACTAGTATCTTTTAGTGCCATTCCCAAGGTAATAAGGTATTCTTTAATTAGCCCAGAAAAGATGAAGAGGGAGCAACAAAGGAGAGTAAGACGAATGCAAAACGACTGAATATACATGTGCCTCAAAATACCCATGTTTTTTTTTTTTTTTTTTTGATTTACAGCTTGATTTCCACACCGTATTTTCAGTACAAGTGTGGAACTTTCAGCATGGATATCGGTTGCCCAAATTCAGGCATACCATAGATATCGGGTGTGCGCCGGCAGGGGTTCGAACCCCGAAGAATGAATCATAATAAAATAACTGTAATCATCCCTCATATCGGAAAAGAGACCTGGTACAAACTTAAGCATGATCAAAACGCAGACAATTTCTCCAAATCAACTCAACTTCTAAAGTGGTGAACCATATCTTTTTGTACTCGTTTAGAAACCTCATAATTACTCGTCGTACATCCATTATGACCACTACTGTTGTGAGTGTCACCGCCTCAAATATGGCATAATATGCCAAAATTTATTGGCAGTAAGTTGGCGAGAACTCGTTCGACTCAATGCTTACTATTCTGACCACATAGAAGTGTTGTTTCTGTATTACCAAAGCAGATTTCCACAATAGGTGACATTAACCTTCATTCATAATCACTAGTAGACATATGCACACTATCACGAATTGAAGCAGCATATCAAGTTCACGATGTTAAGCTGAAAGGTGGACATTTATACAACCCAATATAGTAGCGCTGCGGGGAAACAATCCCACGAATTGCCAATGTAAGGATAAATTGTCCCTTAGCACTAAATAAGGGATTTGGTTGAGCAGCGGGTATGTTCTCATACATGTGAAATTAGACCGACCTAAGAAAGTTTGAGGTGATCCTGTGCCAACCGCTACTTAGATATAATTATTCACCTAGCAAAACTGTGCTTTAGACTCTTTAGGTGATCTTTAAAGATGACTCTCCAGTCCAAGTCAACAATTCAGAACAAAATTGGTGACCTGTCTAAACTCTGTGGTGCGGGACTCATCAGATCGCTCAACTCTCCCACAAATGACAAAAACGCTTTCGTTAACCACCACTCCACGGCAAGTAATATGGGTTAGGGAAATGATGTCACAACACCTGTGTCTAAGAAGTACAAAGATGCAGGAAGTTTACCAATGTCAGTTGAAACTAAGGACACTACTCCGCTAAAATTCATTAACAAATAAAAAGTAATGTCCATCTATCACAAGTGATAGTTTTCATTTTTTTCAAGTTAGTTATGTTTAAATACTGGTGCGCAACTTGATGTACTTCCACCACAGATAAACAACAAACTTGGAGACAAACCAGCGTTTAATTCATCAGATATGATTGAGGAGTCAGTCACACCCTTTGGAAAGGCATATGCATAGTGAGGTTAAGGTTTATAAAAACCTATCGCTATGTGAGTTATTTCTCACCGATTGTATTTCATCGTGTAATTCAGCAGTTAACTTGTGTCTTAAAATGTTTATATTATTGCTTTGATATTAACCAACAACAAATTGAATATCTCTGACCCATCTGTCTAAAGTTAGCCAATATTAAAATGAGAAGAATATTTTGAAAATTTTCTGCGATCAGAGCGTTAAAAAAATCAAACAGTAGTCAATCATAAGATAATCGATTGTGTGTACACAGTTAAAAATCTTTGACAATAAAAATAATGAAATAGAAGTATTGGAATAAAAATAAGGAGAAAACATAAGAGAAAGACTAATCCATTCACATTTCTGCCTTATTTTAAGTGTTCCATAGAAAAGAAATACACGTGGAAGGATAAAAAGTGAATGAAATCAAAATGTGAACAGTTTATTTCGGTCGAATTCCTAATAATTTATTCATTTGACGATTTTGATTTGACATAGTATCTGTTACTCGGTGAATTTTAGGCGCCATACGATCAAGTTGTTCATTTTGAATTCTTAATTCATCATTCATACCTTGAGCAAGACTCTTCAGTCGAGACATGCCATCACCCATTAACGATAAATTATTCTCGAATTCAATGTCTGAAGATTTTGGAGCACCATTGGTTTCCTATTTTAACAGAAAACAAGAGTAGGGGGAAATGAATGGTTTTCGGAACAAACGGTGTTATTAGCTGAAGAAGCATCAAATAAAAACTTTAGATTAGATCTCAGGAATAATTGAGATTATGTGGGTGTTTTGAGAAGAATGTAATAACGCTTTAGCCGAATTGCAACATCGACCAAGACTGCAGGCACCCCTCCAAGTGATAATTAATACACTCATGCTAGCAGGAGGTTATATATATATATATATATATATATATATATATATACCCTTTCCGTTTGAGCCTATTCACAAGTAATATTGTTTTTTGTGTCTTTAGCTTCATTCCAACTGAATACGGCAACGAGAAATGCGAACATTCTCAGAATCTGAAAGATGATAAGAAGTGAATATAATCTTCAAGCATTGGCTCTTAGCATCCCGAAAACCAAGGTCAGAGAGTTTACAGGTGTCTACGCGGCCAAGACCAGAGATCAAAGTCAGACGCCTTTGGAGGATCGGTGTCTGCATCTCGTTCAAGTTGGGGCTGGATACAAGATGGTTGAAGACATGTTGAATTGCGGCTCAAAATTTTTCTAACGTTCTACCAAATTTATCATGAGAAGTTAATAAACTTACATCCTTCTCATAAGCCACGTCAATCACCGCAAGTTTTTATAATTGTATATGATGACAAGTTTACTTAAGAGCAGTGTTTATGCACTCGCTTAGTTATCTTCCCGTTGACAGACGGACTTTATTTCCTCACCAAACAGACGAAAAAGTGTGGACTCCGTAGATGTTTGTTTTCTATGTCCATTTTGTTGTAGGAATACATGTGTACAGGCTGAAACGTGATCGCAGTCAAAGCAGATGAAATGTCTCACTAACACTTCACAGAAAACATCCAGTTAGGTGATTTATTTGTGTTTATTGTTAGCTTAATGTCCTCAACTCGTCAGATGAAACAGTATCTCTCCTTCTGTTCGAAATTAATGCTTGTTAGGAACAGGTAATTATCTAAACAGAAATGTAAAAGATGATCGTGAATATCAGTTTGTCAGCACAGAATTCCATAAATACCCCAATACACTTCCTTCCTTTTGGCATTAAAATCACCGGCCAAGACGGCTTCATCTGTGGTCTGCTTTCAGCTGCCAACTAGATAGCTGGTGAAATGATGTATCCTTCTCTTTATTTAAACTGCATTTAGTTGATTTATACACGGAGATTTCGAAAGGGCGTCGACAAATGTCACAAACTTTACTTATTCCTACAGGTCCATTCAACTGGACAGCACGCACAACTGTTCAATTAAACTGAATAGTGAGTTACCTGCTTTAGCACTCAATTTTATCACACACCACCGAATTCAGGAGAACTGTTTCAGGCCAGTCAAAGGAGGCTTGTTCGGACTATTTTTCGGAGTTTTTTTCTAACGAAGACCTAATTGCAGGCTATGGATCGCTATATGCCAAACCAAGATGTACAGCGTTCCGGGTCGACCTTTTCAAATCTTTCCTCCACTAGAGCGGGGAGGCAATGTAGATGCCCCGCTCATCATCACAGAGTATCAGTTTCCTACCATTAAACTCCTATCTGCCAGTAATATGAGTTCATCTTACGATCCCTAATACAGTGTAAACAACCTAAATTATGATGGTAATTGCTTTAGTTCATCCAAACGATCTTTCTGGCAAGTTAAGACTTACAGGAACGCTCGTACAAGCCCTGTCAACATATTACGGTGGCTCTTAATCGGTTGCATGAATTACAGTATAAAAACTAGATAAAAACTTTATCTGCCTTCTCTTCATAACACTTGGTATTCGACTGAATCGAGTATCATCTGGGATATTCAAAAGTGAGTACGTTTTAAGTTTCTTTCTGAAATTTCCTGATTGAAATGTACAAATTAGACTTCATTCAAGGTGAAAATCACTGCTTTCACATAATGATGGTAGTATCTGTTACAGAAGCGAAACATAAGCATCAAAGAATTGTTGTAAAACCCCGATAGTACATATGAATAGAGAGAATTTTCAGAACAAGGCGATCTAAATATAACTTGAACAACATCAGAGAAGTGAAAAAAATGAAAAACGGTTGTACAACTTGATAATAAATTCGTTGAAAAGAGTTTGTTAGCCAAATATTGTACACACCTCTGTCGTTGCAATCTAATGAATAATGTAAATAGCGAATGACATTTGTGCTGCTAAATAACATTCTACATTTCAATCTTACATAAATTTAGCTTCATACTTGCATAAAACCAAATGTACTCACCATTACAGTTTTCTGCAATGTACTTGTGTACTGCTCACCCCATGAAGAACCACATTGAATGGATTGTCTCAGATTACCGGGATTTTTATTATCTGTCATCTTGTCCACTGAAGCAGACGGTCCTTGAGTAACAGGCTGTGACTGCCTAACAAAAGCCGAAAACCATGGACATTACAATGAATCAGCAGTTCAATACAAAATAAGAGTTATTTTCGCACATATATTTTCATCCCACTACTCAGGAAACATTTTAATGAAGTAAAGGAGTAAAGGTTCTTTAAAAAATTTAAACTAAATCCCGATATTTTCTATATTTCAGCCAACAAAATAAACGAAAATGAAGGTATCCTCAAGTATTGAAAAATTTACAAATAATGAAGTATCAACGACAAATAACATTAAAGTTAACTGAAACCTGTACACCAAGAACATCCCAAGTAGTCCTAGTGATTTAGCTAAATATGAAACAACAGGATGATAAATTGTGAATCAGACACGTAGTTAGCAAAGAAAAATTGTACTCTTGCCAGGAGAACTTACAGTAAACTCGTGATGCTAACGCATCAGTATTTCGAATAAAAGTAATTTTATTATTATCAGTTGGTCTTCAGCAAGGCGAAAATGTGAACTATGACACCACAAAACAGCGGGCAGAAAAACATTAGAAAATGTGGGATAAAAGTAAGAGTTGTAGGGGAAAAAGTGCGTCGGTGATTCAGTGGCAAAATGATCGCCAACCAAGCACAGGGTAGGGGTTGGATTCCCTGCAGACGCACTCGTGAACCTCACTTAACCGGTAGTAAACCCGATAAAGAAGGAAAGTTGGGCGTGAGGCTAGCAACCCTTCCCTGTGAAAGACATCACCGCCACTGAAACTTCAAAGCTCAAACTTGAAGCCCTATGTTTTTCATTTGGAACGCAAAGGCATGAAAAAAAAGAGAAACACGTGAAACTTAAGGGAAGTGATAATTTATTTTCAAATTTATCGAATTTAAATCAGTGCAACAGATTTCTAGCGGTTTTCGAGGTTTCAGAAACGAAATATGTGGACACCCACAGGAAGCTGAGATTAACAAACTACGACAGCTCTTGTATCTTCTTGTGTTAATTCCCGGACCTTTCCCTTTCTAGTTACTTGTACATCATAATGAATTACGGACCTGGATGTGCAACATGTACTGCTTCTGTCACAACTCCTCAGCTTGCAGATCTATAATATCAGCTAATTAGTAATTGGGGAAGAATTTTGATTCTGTAAATACACTATTTAAGTTTGTGAACATTAAAAAAAGATACGGCCGACAATCATACTTATTCTCTTTAAAATTTTGAAGATAATTTTGGTAAAGAAGATATGGTTATTGTTCAGTGAGTTAGATACTCAGCTTTTAGGTAACAAATCACCCACGACAACTACTCAGTTTATGCGATTGAGTCGCTTCACACTTCTAAAACAATAATTGAAGACTTCTATTGAGTATTTAAACGTGTTATGAAGTTTATTAATTCATTGCAAAACAAAATTTTAAAAAAATTCGGAAACGCAATCGTGGAGGATAACTTTTTATTTTTTAATTATACTACACTTATCAAAAAAATAATCCTAAAAATGTAGCATGCTGAGAGAACTCCGTCAAAATGGAACAGACGAACAGGATATTATCAACATTGGACACTCAAAATTGTAAAGTTTATACACTAGGACATTAGGTTGAAACTTAACAAGAAGGACAAAGATAAGACGATATTACCAGGAGTTGTAACGTCATAAAACAAGCAAAAGAAGTGATATTATGATTTGAGTGAAAATACAAGGCAGTGGGGACACCCATGTCCCCAGCTTTTCGATTAACCTGTTGGGTCTGTAAGTAGGGACATTAGGACATTAATCTAATTGCAAACAACACTCATTCTGAAGAAACCTGGCATCACATCGTTTACAGTTGAAACAACGGTGAAAACAACTGATAACATGAGATCGAAGATTATTTAAGTCCAGTAAATTTGTGTTCCCGCATCCACGACGATGAATGCACAGATACTGGTAGTAGAGTGACGACAGAAAGTTGCTTAAACGTAGACTAAAAGTCTCTACCACAACCACAAAACGTTGTGCACGACGGAAGTTAAGGAAATAGTAAAAGGTGTCACCAACAGATAATATACATCAAGTGTTTAGGCATATTAAGAAAATAGATCCTGAAAAGGCTATGGCGTGTGAAACGATCACTGCGATAGAGATCAGACTAAAATAACTCAGCAAACAATATAACTAACACGTTACACAAAAAACATTTAAGAAACTGTTCAAGTGGTCGGCAACTGTTTATCGTATAACAGCCTGGAAAGGAAATAAGTAACAGTCCTAGTCCTAGATCCAAGTTATAAAGAGCAATAGGGAAACAACACCCAGTGATTTGACTCCACAGATGTTTAACAGTACAAGTGATGAGTTACTGACTAGATTAGTAAATGGCGACTAGAAACAGTTCCATTAGGATAGTGGATATCAGCTACCATTCTTTTGAAAACTACAGGAGAATAAGCTTGATACACACATCATTATTTCAAAGTTCCAAGAGATAATCAAACCCAAAGAAACGTCCATCTCGAGCTGCGAAAGAGAGTGCAGTGATCAAGTTTTAGCTCTTTTGACAAGTTTCCAAAAACAGAAAAAATTGCTAACGTCAAACATTTACCTTATAAAGAATAAATACTCAGGTCAATATAGAAAGGTCAGGTCATTTTGCCAAAGTTACAATGCCAGTTGAGTCGAAAAGAGCAAATTCAAATACATGCATCCTAAGTGTCTCTAATGGTTTTCTTTCATTTCAATTCAACATTCAGAGAGTAGTAACAAGATTCGAAAATGGTAAATTTTTCTACTTTACAGGCATATTTGTTCCCCTTCTGTGTCAAGTCTTTTTCTCAATAAATGATCCACAAATATTTGTTTTGTCGTGTCTAACAAGGAAATTCTAACTTCTTGTAATTTGCTGATATTGCAATAAAGTATGATTACTCTGTTTCTGACGAATAGAGCAACCGAAGTCATGGCGTCTGATGGATTCTTTTTAAGTGTCAGCACATAAATTACTACTTTCAGTTAAATTCAACCCTTAAAGAGAAAATGAAATGGCATGAAAATCTAAATAAACGACTTGTGCTTACAATTATTAAGAAACATTATAGTTAAGAACCAAACTAGACAAACGTGATAAATGATAAATATGATACCTAAGTACGTAGTGAGTATTACCTTCCCGAAAACAACAATCGTAATCTAAATATCTCCTCCATCATGGTACTACCTGTTTTGTAACATCATATGCTAAAGTCAAAAAGTTCAAGAATGCACAAATATCCACTCTTCTGAAACTAACAATAATGACTAACAAAACTTTAACAGAGAATCATTGGATGTATCTTCAATACACTTCACCAATACGAATATATACGAGCGCACAACTGAGGTAAAATATCAACGTTTAAATAGAAGGCAGTCAGGAGTGCCTGTTGACTTAGTACTCAGCTGCCAACCTCTGGCTTACTAGTTTTACCTATATCAGTTGGCACAGCCATGAATTGTCATCAGACAATACAAAATAGGTGTGCTTCGCAATCTGTTGTAAGAACCTATACGTAGTTGCTGATTTGTATTACTTTTATTCCATCGAAGATAATAAATATAACGGGATTAGAATATATGAGTGGGTTCTTGATAACGTGACACCCGAATTATTTAGCCATTTCTTTACTTCACCCGAATCACTAAGAGATTCTTGCTAAACCCAGAGTAGACGACCTGATAGCACGCAGAGATGTACTTGTGATTAATAAAGAGAAAGTGAGAAACAGAATACCACCAAAACGACCTCATTCTCGTATTGAATTACCCAGACGATAAAGCTTGGTCCAAATGCAGTATTTCCTTTTACTTTCCCTGATTACAATACTATTGTCTACAGCTGTTTGTGATAAATTTCATCACATCACATCTCATTCTGATTGAGAACAGCAACCTTCCACCTGGCTAATATTTCACAAATCTGGATCCCATCAAAAATTCATGTTTGTTAGGTGACTTTTATAAATCCCATTTACCATACACGACTAACATTAGAGCAATAATATTTGGAACTTGAATTCCTTCGCTTAATCATCCAGAATCTTGATTACTTGCTGGAGAAATGTATCAGTTTCGTTAAATATTTTTTTAATCTCTACTTCAAAAATACTCATAGACACTCAAATGACTTCCCCCACTTAGAACACTTAATGGAAGACTACAGATCAGTCCAATGCATTCGTTTTAATAAAAATTGAGCAATAGTGAAGAATAAACAGATGTAACAAACTCAGTATTGCTGCAAGAAGAACGCTGAATTCTTGAAAGCATAAAGCATAAAGATACAGAAATGTCTACCTACCTGCGTGAAAAAATATTTCTAAATCCACCAAAGACACTTGACAATGTGTTGATTTTCTTTTGACTATCTTTCTGTAATTCACTAATTTCCTCGAGTTTTTGCTCTGCGCGACTTAATTTCTCGCCCTGTTCAACAAGCTCATGAGCTGCCGAAACACCGATTTGTTCAGAATTATAAATACTGGCCAGTGCCCGCTGTTGACTTGCTTTCGTTCGTGACTGACTGTCTGATATTTGACACTAAGCAAATAAAACATTTAGGTTCTTAATGGAAATTTAATGCGAATATCGACAACATTAGGTTAATCCGCCAGTTACAGATTTATGAAACGGCACAGGCACTACAAAAATGTTGCATACCTTTAAGTGAGTAAACTAACAAAGCCACGGCAGCTGCTTTATAAAAAAGCGTACGGTATCACAATAAGACTGTTATGGAAGAAAAAGGTGTTATTCTTCAGAACATTGGTGGCATATCGAGTAAATACAAGTTTTGTTTCCAAGGATTTTACGTACTCATCATCAGCTCGACTACAGTACGTAACTCCCAGTATGGAGTTCTGGGTTCAAGATCCACACCACCTACTTCAGCCTAAGTACAAGGTTAGTTTCACTAACTGCACAAAATAAGTGTGGCATATAACCGGATATATGTAAATTTGGATGCAGGTAATTGAATTATGACTATATATTGTTAAATACCTTGTTCAATCGACTACACGCTTCTTTTGGTAAGTTTCTTCAGCAAATTTCCAACTCCTTTGCTTTTGTATTTCAACTCATACCAATTCACTGTTGAAAACACTCAATAACTTTCAATACTTATAGATGACGAAAAGATGAGCTTTTTAGAAAATATCAGAACACTTCAGTAATTCGCCGATTAATGTAATTTGTGTGATAAATCCAAGAAATGTTGAATATAAATTACAACTGAAATTTTCAAAAATATTCACTACAGGAATTCACCCCAGGATGGCAACAGGACAAGGATATAACACATAAATACATCACCAAGGGAAAGAAAAGATGAAAATTCCCAAACTAATAAGACGGTATGTCCAAGTCCGTTGCCTATAAACACAAGTGTTTGTGCCCTAGAAGCGAATGAAAGTTGTTAGCACTTAACGACATGCAATGGGGGGCACAGAATTCACAAGCATAGGGTACGAAAGTCTCATATCTTCACTTTGTCAAACGATTTCTACGATACTAATAAACTTCCCAGACACACATCTCTAGCTGGTTAGTCCGGAATGCAATCGCTTAATAAATTAAGCAAAGCTTTGATACTAAAAAATTATTGACTAGCACCAACTGTAACAAATGCAAGTTAATCATTGGTATATAGATACTTGACAGATTAACCACATAACGAACGAATTTCATATAGGTTTTCGTCAACCACCACATTACGAATGGTGAAACACCTTCAAAGTATGAAAGCGGGCAACGTCGCGGGTGCAACTATCAACTAACGTACACCATGATGATCAGTGGGAGTAATATAGTCACACTATACTGTTTACTGGGACCGTGTACGCATTCTTGTGTTTATACGATCATCTTCACATTCAGTATCAAAAATCAGCTTTATTTTTACATCGTTATCTAATTACTCGATAAAAAAATCTGATATCAGTACACCAATTTTCGTATATGAGCAGTAATCACCTAATATTACAAATGTATTTATAACAAACTAAATTCAAGAAAATTCTGTTTACTTGAAGAGTGCCAGATGTTCCTTCCACGTTACGTCGGAAGTCAGGAAAACGTTCTGTGGTTCCTGATTGTGCGTACGGAGATAAGCTGGAAGGTTCATCATCAAAGGGATTGAGGGACTTCATTTTGACCTTGAGTCCCACAAAGGTTTAAATCTGCCACACTCCTACAGAATTGTAATGTCCAAGTTTCCTTCCGTAGTTTAAGGCCAATAAAATAACTGGCAAGATTGCTGTCGTCATTATTCATTTAGATTCCAAAATGAATATGAGGCCTGAACAACACATCTCCACTTCGTTCTATTTACTGCTGTCCTGTTTAGCTAGCTACACGATTACCCGTCGTCTCTCATTACTTCCTCGCACGATCTCCTCCATGTCACCCTCTACACTCCACTCATCGTTTTATGTTCTGTTTCCACTTGAGGACCTGACATATGATAGCATTCCTTGGTCTCCTCAGCGTATGCTCAATTCATCTCCTTCTATATATTTATTGAGCAATAGGTTCGTGATTGGTTCGTAAATAGAGTTTCCTATCTCTAATAAATCCTAGCCATCTAATCTCCAGTGTTGAACCAAGGAAGGTAGATGTTGACAAAAGTTTGCAATCGGCTGGAGGTGCTTTTCGTGACGCGCACGCCAGGTTTCTCACCCACATGGAAGAAGTGGAATAGCATTATTGCATATCCTCGCTAATTGTAGCTTTAGTGCCCGTTGCTATATTGTTTTAGTAACAAGTTATTTTTTGTATACTTTTTAAATGAAATTCCGCATGAAAAACTTTTCTGACAAACATAATATGGGTGCACAATTTACTTGGACTACATTATCTTTGCTGCACTTATATCAGGAAATGTCACTTGATACTGATGTCTACGCAATGTGATGGATCTAATAATGTAGGGAATTCAAAATGTTGACGTATATTTTTGAATTTTTATGTAGTCATACTGGCATATTCACCCTATTTGTTGAGACAATGTTGTCTTTATTAGTGTGGTAGCTGTTAGTATTCATAGCTCAATTTCAGCATTAATTTCAGTTTTCATTTACTCATCACAGTCAGCTCTTCTTTTTAACACAAAAGGCATTAGCACTATGGTCATAATTTGTAGCATTACTCTGAACTTGTGCTTCATGCGGCTTTTATTTGGAGGGAAGGTTAAATTGCTACAGTATTCCTATTCCATGAATATGACTTAGGTTCATACGTGAAAGAAACCCATTATCTTATTTGGAATGAAGACAAGTTGTTCAGAAAGTAAGGAAGACTTTATTTTTCAATTTGTTCGTATAAATGCTATTGCCCATAGAGCTGCACTGCAGGTACGAATCAAGTAAAGGACTATGAATGCCTCAACATATCCTCTGAGTAAGAAAATTAACAACACAGGAATCGCTTCTCAAGACTCTCCATATTAAGTTCAGTAATGACGAATAGAAGCTTTTCCACCTCAGTGTTATGAGTTTATTTGTGAACTGTGTGGGATTTTACAGTAATACATTTGGCAAGGAGACTTCATATTGAGATCAAAAGTGTACATGTTTTACTAAATCTTATGCATCTCCTGCACAGATTTTCTGCTCGTCAAGTGGTCATTTAATAAGTGCTGGTTGTTGAAACCAAGCTAAGATTATAACTCAAAATTGTAATAATTATTGTCATTTTCATTGGCGACAGTTCACAATCCGTCGAATTTGCACAACCACAATGCCCATATCTCACTTTACCGAGGAAATATTAACTGGTTTCTTGAAATGGCAGTAAGTCGTTTTGTGAATCTCATGAATTCTACAAATTGCATACTGTTCACTTAGTACTGAAGCAAAAACACGAGGGGATTTATATTTCCAAGGCTGATTTCCGCAACTGTCGCCCTCATTTTAGTTTAATTTTATCCTACAAATATTATAAATAATAATTTATATTTCATATAAACTGCTGTTTACAAGAAATGCATGCTACTTTTATGGGCACGATCAGTAACGTCATAGATTACAGTTGTGTATTATTATGTATTAACACCGCCTCAAAAGTTTAAACTGTTGAATTATAGTTCAAGCAATTAGAAAAGATGTTAAATTGTAAACCCCTCACTTGGTCACCATCATAGTTGAGCGCCGTTCCGTTTCCTGCTGATAGTTATGGCCAACCAATGAACAACATATATTGGGGCAGGTGCTATGCCCCCACTTGATTAAGAGCTATTTCAGGAAGAGAATAACGTCCTGAGAAACTGGAAAATGGAATATGATACAATCATAGAAAATACATCATTGGAAATACCTTTACAAGATAAATACGAGAAGTGGCCATAGAGTCCTTGCAATGATAGTATACATTTGCAGTGTTTAGTGCTAACCACATCGGTCTTCCCATGGAAACTATGACGTCTTCGATGAAAACATAGCTTTGTTCAAACATTGGTGCTGTTGTATTCTTAATCAAAGCAACCAGAATTTAAGAGAAAGCAACAAATATGCTCCAAGAGTAAATTTTATCTTTAATGAAGGCCTAGGTAGGTAAGATAAAGTAGAGTATAATAGTGTGTCAATAAAAGGATTATCGTGAGGGAAATAAGTGATCATCAAGTGATAAGTGAATTCAGATATCTGGAAGATTAGAACGCGTTGGACACGCTGACTTGTAAGATGTCTCAAAAATTTCTCTATGTCCCATGGTGTAGCATCTTGACAAGAAGCTGGCTTGTAGATTTTAAGAGCAAAGGCATTTTTTAAACCCCGAACCTCATTTTCCATTGTACAGATCGAAAGTAATCTACAATGAGCCTACCACCATCTGTGAACTTTTCAGTGAGTGGTTTGCGAACTTTAGGTTAGAAACGCACATCCATGTTGAAACCGCACCCCTTACTAGCTCTTCCCTCGGGAGCATATTCTTCAGCAATCGATTAATAGAACAAGCAGTTAAAAGCCTTCTACTAGCACGGGACCGGATGGCCTTGCTTCAATAATTTTCAAGAACAGTGGGTGTGATATTCCTGTTACTCCTTAAAATCTCAATATCTGTGGACACTGGCACCTACCTTAATGAGTGGAAAACTAGCTTCATAACTCCACACCACAAATCCAGTGATAAGGCAAACGTTCGCAATTACAGACCTATAAATATAACCCCAGTTGTCTCGCGGATCATGGAGAAAGTTGTCAGAGATCATTTATCAGACTATGTATTTGGGGAAGATATTATTACAAAACCTCGGCACAGATTTCTCAAAAATAGGTCCCTTCAGCATTTTCAACTGCATCATTTGTAGTCGCGAATCACGTAAGCTAGTCGTTGTTCTCTACTTCGATATGTCTAGGGCATCTGACATGGTATCTCACAGTATTCTCCTTGAGAAGCTGTACTCATGTGGACTTGGCAATCCATTACTTAACTGGTTAAAGTCATTCCTAAGCAACAGGGTACAAATAACCGAAGTGGGGTCAGTATTGCCTCATCCTAGGCAGATCACAAGTGGGGTTGTGCAAAATAGTATCCTAGGACCACTTTTATTTACTGTCTAAATTAACGGCATTTGTAACTGCTTCACCTCAGGTAAACCATTCCTATATGCTGACGACCTCAAAGTCTTTTACTCCTGCTACGCTCATGAATTAATCGATATGTTAAGTAAAATACATCTTGAACGAAGTGGTCTCGCAACATGGTGTGCTGAGTCCTGTCTGAAGTTTAACCGTGACAAATGCGGCTGGATTTGTATCGGCAATAGTAAACTTGACCTAAATCTTGAAATAAATGGGCGTAAACTATCCAAGCCCAACTCAGTCGTAGATCTCGGTATCAGATACTGTAGTAATTTAATATTCTCTAAACAGACTAATTATGCTAGACGTAAAACACGAAGGCTCTTAGGATGCATAACTCGCAATTTCAATTTTCGTGACACTAGGGTTTTGTTACACAAATTTTGCGAGTCCGGCCTATTTTAGAATACTGCCCGTTTATTCTTAGTGGGCTGTGACAGAATGACAAACTTAAATTAGGGGGAGTGCAACGGCAATTTACCTCAAGAACTCTTGGTTCGGAAAGTAGTCTCGAACGCTCTGAGCGTTGCGGCAGACTGAAAATAGAACCACTCTGGAAAAGACGTCCTAACCTTAACCTTATTTTTTTTTACTACAAGCTAACTAATCTGCTCGTGCACTCCTCCGAGCCAATAAGTAAACCTACTGCTGTCATCACTTACAATCTTAGAAATCATGACAACCTAGCTGCTATAGAGCATTGTCAGACTTACATTCGGTACAACTTCTTAAATAAGTTTTCAGTCACTGGGAATAGGCTACCAGGTAATGTGCTTGATGCAGACACACTCTCTATGTTCATCTCCTCAGTTACCAGGCTGCTCAAAGATGACAACGCACTCCTACTTATGACTCCTACACACTTTTTCACCCTACATAGATATTATAAGTTCACTAAACGTATAAGTTACAACAAACCACAATTATAAATGTTAATATTATTGAAAGTGCACGATAAACATTTCTACACAGGCCACTATTGTTAGTCAAAAGATAACATAAAAGTCAGCATAACAAGACTTGTTGGTTAATATACCGAAATAATCAAAGCTACTACACAGAATATATATATCTAAATTTATAAATTACTCCTTGAGGACTCCCCTTGCTTTCTTCTGTGCTGCTGTCGTTTGTCTTCTTTTTTCTCTCATCATTTTGGTTTCTATATGACTTTTTGAATGAGAGTAAAGAATATAGATATCTGAACACTTAAAATGAAAAATGATGTGCGGGCATTATTGGTACCGTATCCTATAAATGCCTCGTGAATTACCCATTACCTTCCCCCACGACGCATCCTGCATAACAGTTGTGGAACATACCTTTATACCAATGGAAAAGTAATTGTTTATGATGCTTCACGATTTTAATTTATAACATAATTGATCATTCCTGTAAAAATGGCTTGTATTTCTTGAAAAACCAGTTTATATGAAACATAAACTATCATTATTATTAGTAGAGAGGCGAACGTGTTTTACCTGAAACTAGGTTTCGCTAACATTTTCAAAACATGTGAATTGGTCTGTGTTGGGACACACCAAATGTACAGGCATGGATAAGTATTATTTAAATTGCATAAATTTGGTTTGCGGTGAATTTACATGGTTTCTGTGATTTTGACTACATTCTGTCGGAAC